TTTACGATTTTTCTCGGTTGTTGTTTACAAGTAAACAAACTTTCTGACGCTTTGAACCAAATTGTGATTTTCCTATACTTTACATGTCCCCTATAACGCGATTTCATATAACGCGAGATTTTTCAGGATTTTCAAGTGACCAAACTCTCGCGTTATACGAGAACTACCTGTATTAATAACTTAGTATTAGGAGCAGCAGTAGAGTAAAATAGAACAGAATATAAGCGCTGCTGGTGCACTGACTAAATCAGTCACAAAGTCATTCCCGCGTCATACACGACGTGACAGGACTGAATCATTGGCGAGAGTGGGATTCGAACCCACGACCACAGAAAATGGACTGCGACCTGAACGCAGCGCCTTGGAACGCTTGGCCATCTTGCCACGTAGCTTAAGGTTCACTGTACAATTACCAAAACAGGTTTCTTCAAAAGCTAAAATTACCATTGAAGATGGGTCAAGAAGCTTCTTCAAAAGCTACGCACGGTTTTTGAAAAATAAATAAAACGGCTCAGCAAGTTTAACAAACTTTGTCTGAAGGTGAATTATTTTTGTGCGCTGCTGTCGTGCACATATGCTCCATGCAACAACATCCTGTTGTGAATGCTCCAATCTGTAACATATTGTACATGGTATGTTCTCTTTTCTGAATTCAGCTCTGTTAATTAAGAAAAGTGCATTTGCTGCTCCAGTGCCTTAACCACTCTGTTTTCGTAATCGACTGCAAAGTATCGCTTAATGGACATAATTTAATATAGCCTCTGTAGCTCAGTGGTTAGAACGTTGGTCTTCTAAACCAGGAGTCGAGAGTTCAGTTCCTTCCGGCGGTTTTCATAGGTTTTTATCCTTTGTCTTTGTAGTGCATTCCAAACGAACGTTTTCCTATTTTTAGCCTTGGAATTAAAAAAATTCAACACACACACACACACCGCTAGCTGACCTACAACGCAACCATCGACAGACTACCGCTTACCAGATGAGTAGGTAACTTCCAATATAATGTCAAACACTACACTTTCGGTCGTGGACATTTTGTACTGGACTATTTGTCCGTGAACCAGATTATGTGTTCTGCCACGTCCAATGCAACAATACTTTCTTGTCTCGTCTTCAGCGATAACGATAATAGTGTAGCAGAGCAAGTAGCAACCCAGAGGTACGAGTAACACCTTTATTATCAGCGCAGAGCGAGAGGCAAACCGAGCGAGCGACTCCGTATCGAAAGCCACCAACCAACTAACTACCGTCTCCCCGTGTAGCCGCGCTCAGGTTCGCGGTTCAGGGCTCACGGGTGAGAATCAACAATATTAATCACAGACCGCTACAATAGTTACAACCATTATCCCTGAAGACGGGACAAGGCAGTCCCAAAAGCTCCAAAATTATAACATTGTTCTGATTTTCTCCCTAGTAGCTGCTCATCCAACCGTTGGTAGGGAGTCTGGTTAGTTTCAGAAACCAAGAACGGGCAAGAAACAACTGTACAGATGTTCGAACGTGAAAATCCTTGGACTCGTTACGAAGCATCAAGTTTTCAAGACCAATTAACGAAGCTACCTGAACTTTCATGATGTATAGAGGGAATTGCAACCCGTTTAATCTTTTTATTTGTTTACGAAGCTTTCGGGAAACGACTGTTCCCGTCTTCAGCGCTTGAACAATGGCAGAAGTTTTGCTCGGGCAGCTCTGGTCAAACTTCGTACTTTAAACGACGTGTTATCGTTTAATATGTGAGAATGCAACAAAGTTAGGCGGTCTGAGCCAAAGAGAGAGAGAACACACCGAGAGCAACACACCTGCAACAGCACGTGCACCAGCACTGACTATGTGCTGATGGGGAACCGCTTAAGAAGGAATAAATAGGTCATCGTTCCGGTTCCGGAGAGCGTTATGCAAAATTCGCCTTAACATTCGCCTCCTCGGAAGTGGCGCATTTAGTGAAATGTGTCCACTTCGTTTAGCGCGAAAAGTCTGTCTCTGAGAATTTTGTGCCGAACTTCACTTAAAGGTTTCGTCAGGATGTCCGCTAGGTTCCTACCGCTGGGAACGTATATCGGCTCAATGGTACCGTCTTCGATCTTCTCTCGCACGTAGTGATATCTTATTGAAATGTGCTTGGTTCTGTTTTTGTCAACTGAGTTTTTCGCATGTGCAATCGCAGCCTGACTGTCACACATCAACTTTGTTGATCCAGCCACCAGCTTGGAACCTTGTCCGACAGATTCAAGGAATCCTCTAACCCAAGTTACTTCTCTTGAGCATTCGCTGATTGCCATGTACTCTGCTTCCATGGTGCTCAGCGCCGTAACCATTTGCTTTGCGCTTTTCCAAATTACCGGCGTTCCACATAAAAGCACGACGTACCCTGTAGTACTTTTCCTAGTTTCACTACAGGA